ATAATTAATTAGAATTTGGAAAAAATGTGAATTTATACGAAGCGTGACAATATCTCGCGAAAACTGACCACACGTTTATAATGTCACGGACCAGAAATTTTGTAAAACAAACACTTTTGTAGAAATTCGTAGCATATATTTTTTGCTCACTTAAATGTTTAATTAATTAATTTATTATACAGGGTGTCCCATTAGTGTGTAATTGTTCAAAATTTCAATTTCAGCAGATTTAAAATAAAAGTTATAAGAATTTTAAAAATATTTTTGGATTTACAGGGTATTCCGTTTTTGCCTGGCAAATAAAAATGTATGTTTTTTCAATAGAACAACTTGTATTTTATTTCATTTTTAGAATGGTTTGGTAATACTATATTCAATCTTAGTATTTTAAAAAAATATTACAGCATTTCCAAGCAATTAATTTTTTATGAAATTAGAGATGATGCAGGCCCAAATTAAATTATCATAAGGTATATTTTTATTGATCTTAAAATTGTTTAATTTACCGAGATAACATGTCTTAAATATGGCTAATTTTAAGTTCAATTTACTAATTTTTTTAAACGCAACAACCTGTATATTATTTTGACATAAAATTCCTTGTAAATTTGCTATCTAACGATACCAACATGTTAGCTAATAACACATACACACTGATTACACCGGGTGTCCCATCAGTGCGTAATTGTTCGATAACTGTTGTATCATTAATAAATATACAGGGTGTTCCGTAAACGAGGGGTTGACCAAGCCTATACATTTTTAAAAGCAAAACACCCTGCAGGTATAGTCTATTTTTATGTATGAGAGAGTATTAAAATAATAAAGCGTTCGTAATCCATAGGCGTACCACTTCTTTTAGTAGACAGTTAAAATATTTTTTGAAGTTATTCCTCGAATATACACTTATATTTTCACCTAATTAACCTGCTTATAACTTCTAAACAGCTGAAGGTAAAAAAGTGCAATTTTTTCTAAAATGTTCACAAGGTATGTTAAGAACATTGTGTCAAACGGGTTATGTAGGTATAAGGGTTTAAACTTTGACTTTTAAACAACGTTACGTTCATAAATAATAATTTTAATATAAAAACTACTTCTTACCTACAAATCCAAATCAGAATCGAAATCAGAAGATGAACTGTCGCAACCAATATTTACAATGAGTGGCTTGATCATTTCATCAGTAATATTGTCCAACTTCCACATTTTCTCTGTGACGAAGTCACTAAAATTCCCATTAATTTATTCCATAAATTAATTTCTAAAATTAATTTCCGTCTATGAAGATTTGCAAGACCCCCTAATATTTCCTTAGAATTACCGTTTTTAAACCTTTGCAAGAGCCCTCGTAGTTTAAAACTTTTCAATATCACAATAAATTAAATCTTGTCGTAAAATAGCAATTCTAGTAGATTTATCAGTAAGCTGATCAATTAAGGTTTTTTTTGCAAAACAACATATTTCAGAAAAGAAGGGACTACCGTCCCCACTCCGGCAAAAGTACGACTTTTGATAAAAGTAGATGTTTTCGATGAGAGGGCCTCTTTTTCCTGTCCGTCGGTATTGGAATTAAAAAGTACTTTTACGAAGTGTGTGTGTGTGTGTGCGTGTGAGTGAATACCGAGTTAGTGAAAGCTTAAGCAAGGAGGCCTTTTATTTAAAATTCCGTCTAATAATTCTCCCAGCAACATTTATTTCCGTCTATATTAATTACTTAAGAAATTCGACCAGTATTTTATATTTCTTAGTGCCTGTCAGGGTAACAAATTGGATTTAGATCCGGGGCTGTAGTACCCTTCAACCATTTCCGCGTGAATCAGGGGTGATAGCGGTATTCGCTTGCTTCCCCGTCGAGAATCAGAGTTTTCTTTTTTTCGCTTTTGTAGAAGCTATGGATTACCAGATGTCTACATAAGAGAAATTTGAATCCGAATAAATAAAATTAAAATCGTCAATATTCCCTAAAGTATTGGTCGAATAATACCGTTTTAAGTTACCTGTATTGGGACTATTGTGTCTAGCTAAATAATATTGCAGGGAGGATATTAACCGTCATTCTTACAAAGGCAACCGTCATTTTTTTTTCCTCTCAGGAGTGCAAAGTGATACCGTTCACTGCCGTTCATAAATTGTCTATAATTGATTACTGAGAATAAATTATTAACTTTTAATTTCTAAAAGGTATAGTCCAAATCATATTTAATTTTACTATTGTAGATTTTTGTCTTATGACTTAAACCGGTTATTTGCATTAGTAGGAAAGAATTTGTGCTAAGGGTGTTAGTGCCCACCGTTATATTTTTTTTTAAAAGGAAATTATTATTTTTATTTTCTCATGGGTATAGCATAGGTCATAGTTAATTTTACCGTTATAGCACTTTTCTGTTAACACCGAGACCGTCTATTTTATCAACAACACATAAATTTTACATTTATTTTATTACCGCTATTAAATATATATAATTACCGATTTCACCCTCGTGTCATTTGTTTTATTTTTTATTTTATTTATTTTTTTTTGTAAATATATTTTTAATTATAATTCCTGAGTTTAATTTTGAATTACTCCTTTACTTTTTCCGTTTTCAGGGCTTAGTTACTAATAGGTAAAAGTGCAGTGGAAAATTTTATTTATTCTATTACCCCAGTGTAGGTCAACTAAATAGTGAAGGTCTGACCGTTTTATTTATTTATTTTTTTTGTTTGTACCTGGACTCCACTGAGTCTGCTGAGGGTGTACTCTAAGTGCACCCCAGGGCCACAGAGTAGACTGCGTTGCCAAAACTGGCGCCTGAGCAACCCTTGTTCAAAGAACAGCTTAGCGCCACCCAACCCCTTTTCTTTATTTTTAGAGACGAAGAAAAGGGTGTTACATCTCTTCTTCTTTAATCGTATGATTTACTGCCTTTTCCCAGTTTTCAGGCTTCACATTATTTACAGCCTCCAAAAACAACTGTTTAACATCACTCATTTTAAAAGAATTATTTTTTCTTGAAACTTCTCCCTTTATCTGTGCCCATATCAGTTCAATCGGGTTTACTTCGCAATGATATGGTGGTGATATAACCACCGTCATCCCACGATTTTTTGCAATTTCATCAATTTCATATTTTTTGAATTTCTCTTTATGAAGGGAACACAAATGATACAGTTCTTTTCTCACAGAACCGGGATGGAACTTAATATTCTTTGAATTTAGCCAATTCTGTAAATCTTTTTTTAACCACTTGGTTGTGGGCATTTTTTCTATAAGTCTCGAGTGATAACTTGCATTATCCATTACTATTATACAGTTCTGAGGAAGAAGATCTATAATTTGTTCGAACCACTCTTTAAAGACATCAGCATTCAAGTCCTCATGGTAGTCACCGGTACGAGTAGATTCAAAAGTCAATAAACCACCTTTAACAAAACCGTTTGAACTACCGATGTGTACTATTATTAGTCTGCGCCCCTTTCCTGATGGTGGATTTAAACCAGTAGATAAATTATTTAAAAAAGCCTGTCTTCGACTTGTAACAGTTTCATCTTGCCAAAATTTATTTTGTTTATGTCCCTCGTTGATCCATGTTTCATCTAAATAAAATATATTTCTTCTTTGGTTTCTCATTTCTTTTATAGTCCTTAGGTAATTTCTTCTCCATACTACAATATCGCTTCTTTCTATTAAAATAGACTTTCTGGAATTCTTTTTCCATAGAAAACCTATTTCTTTTAAAAGTTTCCATAGTGTGCTTCGATTCATTTCAGGGTAATCTTCATCATCTCGAACCGTGGCAAGAACTTTGTCTACTGTTGGAAATTTTCTAAAAAAGAACGCATGCACTTTCCTTCGAAGTCTTTCTTTCAAAAGATTTTCTAATTAAAATTTTGGTTTTCCTGGAGCTTTACGTGCTGTTTGAAACTCACCACATTTCTCTTCTTTAATAACTCTGTAAATCGTAGATTTCCCAACACCAAGCGTACTACTAACTAATTCCACTGTGTCATCAACACTTTTACATAAATGTTTGTAAATAATTTAAAACAATTAAATATTAGTGTTTTTTCATTAACTTTTAAGGGGCCGATTTTTTGTCGTTTACGCGGCCCTTCCAAATTTTCCATGATCACACTAGAATTCACACTGCACCTTGCAAGTTGAAACTAAACGACATTTAGTAAACTGTCAAGAATACACAACTTGGACCTCCTTACTATATGCAAAACCTATAATCGCATTTTCGGTGAAATTTGTTGGGAAGGTATTTATCTACTTATAATTCGATTACTGTAAGAAATTCTTGGAATTAAAATAAAACAAAATTGGCAAATAGGTACTTATTGAAAATAATCTTAAGATACGGCTATGTAATCTTTAATACACAGGGCTTTTGGCCTGTCCAAACCTTTTTCTATTGTTCTGTACAGCTTATGTTTGTAAAGGGCCAATAAAAGACCCAAAACTTGGAATAGCTCAGGTACATTTATTACAATTTTAAGAAATATTTAGATTATTCTGTAAACATATTTAAAATGATTGTACTAAGTTTTGCATTAGAAATGCTGTTTTATTACTCTCTCATACATAAAAATAGACTATAGATATATCATAGCGACCAAGAAGGTGCCGGCAGATAACTCAATAGTACCAGTGCTAAAACTAGATATCTCAAGATCTCTAGTTATAAAATGTATATATTGGGAGTTATCTGTTTTTAGTCACTCTTCAAAAATAGGTTTGGTTGCTCGTACGTGATATCCAGTTGTTGCATTGAAAAGAGCATGAAAAATAGGACAGATTAAACTGAATAACACAAAATGCATAAATTTCAAGTTATCTAGTTGTTGCACTAAGGGGGCGATATTATTTATTAGATTCCTTTGTGACCTCGGCGAAAGGCCGAAGTTTTACCTAATTTATATTTTTATTCTAACTTTATTTTAAACAATGACAGTTAAAATACATTCGATAGGTCCTAATCATTAATATATTGACATTTTTTTAACTATTTTAGGTAGAAGACGTTACAAATGTGCTCCAAGATGGTACTTTGATTGATTTATGTGGGGCTACCTTATTATGGCGTTCTGCCGAAGGACTTGCAAAATCACCGGTAAGATCTCTAAACTATTATATACAGGGTATTTAAAATTTTAGCTTGATGTATTGAAATATAGGACTTGACGATGATTAAAATAATCGATTATTTTCGATTAATCCATTATTCGGTTGTTTTTATATTATTCGAGACATCTATTATTTTCTATTAATCAGTTATTTTCAAATAATCAATAGAAAATCGGATTATAGATTATTAGATTAATCGATATTATTTCATTGATTTAAAATATTATATTCGATTGTTATTAATTTATCGATTATTAGTAAATTTCTAATTCAATTACATTACATAATAATAAGGTAATAAAATGATCGTTTTATAATATTGAATTATCGATAGGACTGGGCGATTATCAAAATAAAGCATTATTTAAAATAATCGATTAATTTCAATTATTCGATGAATCGGGACAATAATTGATTATTTTTATTAATCGATTATTTTCGGGGTGCGCGTCGCCCCCTTACCCCCTATACGCTACGTTTTTTCGCATACTGCGTGGTACAGAATGTAAAGTATCAATAATTGCATCACTATCGGCAACAGTAAAACGTTGAGACTTCACTGTCTTAGATGGTCGGATAGTAATAAGCAGTACGCTTCTTTCTTCCTTGATATCAGCTAAGCGTAAATCGCACAATTCACATCTTCTACAAGAGCCAAAGATGCCACAAATAGCAACCACCTTCAAAATTAAATACGTAATTTCCGGTGCATCTGTAAAAAACTTCCGCAAATCGTCTTCCTCGAATACATATGCCTTCTTGACTACCTCATTTTTGTTAATTGCGTTCATGAATGCATGCACTTTGACGAACGATTTTATATCGACCCCTTTGTTTATCCTCAACATACTTTGTAATTTTGAATGGATAGTCCACATAGTCGATACTTTATACTGTTCCGACATTTTCTGGAGATAAGCGAGAACAACTCGTTCATCTATATATGTAACCATTTGCTCTTCTATCCACGTGTTGAATTTATCGTATTCTTTTTTATAAACCGCTTCGGATTTTTGTGGTATTAAGCGCGATTCTGCTTTATTATTTAAATACTCAATATTTGAACTCATTTTAAACAATAACAACTGTTGCGACAATTAATCTTACGTGACAGATTGAAAATAAATTTTTGTTTGTCTCATTTTCATGACAACGAGGTATATGAGGATATATCAGTATATAACGAGACTGGTGCTATAACTTCTTTCAGAGGTAACATTTTATAACCCAAAAAATGAGACATGAAAGCCTTATATTTAATGTACTACCCCGCAAGTAGGCTTTGATTGAACTTTTGACGTTTGTTACAAATTAATTATTGAATTGTCAGTGTTTTGCGTACCCATCGAAAAATGAAAGTGGAGCAAAGATACGCGATAAAATTTTGTGTTCGATTGGGTAAAACACCAACTGAAACTTTTGAAATGATTAAAGGTGCATATCTAGATAATAGTTTATCACGATGTAGAGTGTTTGAGTGGCATAAAAAGTTTAAAGACGGTTGTGAATCAGTTGAAGATGAACCTCGCCCGGTCGACCACAAACTGCGAGAAATGACACAAAAATTGCAGAAATTAACGACTTTATACAAAATGATCGCCGGATTGGCATAAAACGAATTTCTGACAATGTTAATTTGTCTTACGGTACCACTCAAAAAATTATTCATGAAGATTTAGAGTACCGGAAGATCGCGGCAAGATGGATTCCAAAAGTGATGACCGATGAACAAAAAGCGAATCGAGTGACAATTTGTCAGCAGTGGAAAAGGCAATTGCAACGTAACCCACAGTTTTTAAATAATGTGGTTACATGTGACGAAAGTTGGTTTTATCATTACGATCCTGAATTTAAGTCTCAAAGTATGCAATGGAAGCATAAAGGCAGCCCAAGACCGCAGAAGGCCAAAACTGCTAAAAGCGCTGGTAAAGTGATTCACCTGATTTTTTTTGATAAATTGGGCGTTATTTACGATCACATTGTACCTAGAGGACATACAGTAACAGGGGAGTACTATTCTAATGTACTTCGAGGACCCTTAAAGGCAAAATTAAAGAAAAAAGGGCCGCTTTATCAGGACTTTGGCTGGACGCTGCATCACGACAATGCTCCGGCTCATAGATCAATGATTTGTCAACGAACAATTGAAGAATTAGGGGTTGAAATTATGGTTCATCCCCCCTACTCTCCTGACCTTGCTCCATGTGACTTCCATTTGTTTCCTGAAGTCAAAAAAGAATTGAGAGGTAGAAGATTTGAGTCGGATTTAGAGCTCAACAACGCTGTGATGGATATACTAAACAGACTATCAAAAAATGGTTTTTTAGAAGTTTATGATAAGTGGATAAAGCGATGGGATAAGTGTATTCAACAGAATGGAGAGTACTTCGAAGGATAGTTGAATTTTTTTAAATAAATGTTTCGTTCTTATACTATAGCACCAGTCTCGTTATTTTCTGATACATCCTCGTACTAATGTTGCATCACAAATTCAACCATTTTCAGTTATTAGTTCTTATTTCCATTTTTTTGTAGAAATAATACCAATATTTAGAATTTCAAAGTATACCAATAAAAAAAATAGCGTAAAGTATTCGTGGGTAACTGGTCTTTAAAACACTTGCTCTATTTCGAGCACGACGGCGCAGCCGGAGTGCTCGAAAAATCGCGCATAAAACACGCGCGATTTATAGACCGTTATATCCTCTCATATTTTAATATACTATTTAACCACTTTGCTCAGAATTGGGATGTTATATTATGTTGATAATGGGGTGTTAATACACTGCGACCTAAAATATCTATTGTGCCCCCTTCTGTAGCCACTGCACTAAGGAAATGTCTCAATGCCTATAGCGACCCTTCCAATCCTATTTTCTCAAGGAAGTGTAGGATTTGAAGTGGCTTCAAGTTAGATAAGTCTCCCTCTTCTATTTTATATCCTCCTAGATATAGTGCCCTTGGATTCTGGAGTGCTACACATTCAGTTAGGATGTGAATGGAGGTTTCGTCCTCCTCCTCACAGAATCTGCACTCACTATCCTCTACTACTCTCAGTTTACTTAGGTGTCCTTTTAGTCAGCAGTGCCCGGTGAAGATCCCTGTTACAATACGTAGCCTGTTCTTGCTCAGGCAGATGCAGGCTTCCGATCTTTTTTGGTTATATTCACCCAGAAGTATCTTGGCCTGTCTCAGCCCCAAGAGATTGTTCCAATTATCGGTTCTTCTACTACCCAATTCTTTTTTAATCTCTTCTAATATTATGTTACTGCTGATACCGCAGAACTGGGATTGGCACAGGTGCCATTTGGTAAAGTACAACGTTTTACATGCTTTTGGGGTATATTTCATTTCGTTATCAGATGACGGTAAACATTTGTAGTGGGCTCTTAGGCTATTAGGCTTATGTATAGATTCAGTCGTTTCAAAATATTATTATCACCTTGGTAGTATGTCTAGTTTTGAAGTTATTTTAGATTGTTTGTTGATCACAAAATATCAAAATCTTTTAATTATTAATTTTCTCATTTCTGTTGAATACAAATTTTCTTATATCTGGTTTAATATCTAAAGGGTGTCCCAACAAGAACTTGAATTTTTTATGACAAAGAAAACACAGTAATTAAAATACAAGTATTAGAAATTAAAAATTTAAACAAACCGACTTCAAAAACGTGCAGATGCCATCACCACATCTTAATTAAATTTATATGGGACCACCCCTGAGGTACCCCCTTACTAACCAAAAAAAGAATCATATAAATCGGACAAGGTTATCGCTAAACATACATAAAAAATGAAGAGTTTGAAATTTTTCTCATGGACCCAATTATTAGATTTTGACCAAATTCATATGGGACCACCCCTGAAGTAACCCCTTTCTAACAAAAAAAGAATTAGTGATCTCGGACACCATGTTAAAGAATTATCGCTGAACATACATAAAAAAAAAAAAAATATCGCGACGAATTGATCACAGGTGTCTGGAAGGCAGAGAAAGTTTTCGCACGAACACGATCTGCCATATTGACAGGAAATCGTTAACAAAGTCCCCAGGAAATAGAAAAAACTTACCTCCAAATCATACCTGTTCCTAAACGTGATTTTTTCGTGAATCCGTAAATATAAATTTCATGGTTGAATAAACACAGTGAAAATTTTTCTTCATGGCTATAATTCGGATATTTTGAATAAGACACAACATTTTTTGGCTCAAAAATGGTGAAAATTGTAGCCAGAAAAATTCTCTTTCCGAATAACACATTGAAAAATATTAATTTTGCCATTATATATGAGCAGAGCCACAAAATATATACTCATACTCGCTTTGCTTAAAAAGCAGATTTTATTCAAAAATGCTAAATGTCCGACGTTCCGTTGGGTTGAGAATGTCCAGAAACTGTCCCTTGGGACTCAAAAAAGTTTTTAAGGGATGAAATAAGGGAGCTAAAGGTTATGAAATACTTAGATCAGTGAATAGCATTGTTAGGAATGACAACATATTTAATTCATTACAACACATGATTATTATTGCATATTTACTCAATTGCATATTTATTCAATTGCATATTTATTCAATTGATACAACTCAGTGAAGATATTATGAAATAACAGTCTGGTCGAATATATTCTAAAAGTGTGTATTTGATACAATTCATTCTTTTTCTGTGGAAATTCAAATATGTTTTGGCGAGAAATCAACAACAGCTGCTTTCAATCTAAGCAGGTAATCTGAATCATCTAGATTATTAAATTTACGTATATTCCAAAACTTTAGAAATTCTCTATGTATCGATTCGCCAACCTGCTTGGACCATAGACCAAAACCTTCATTATCGTTCAAGAATTCGAGACTTTCTTCAATGTGGCATAGAGTAATGTGAATTTTAAGAGTTTCAGTTACGTCTATTGCGAGAAGAGCTGTCTTCAAATCTTTAATATGATGACTCAATTCAGATTGAACCCTCCTGACCGCAAAGCATGAGT